ATATAGTGGGAGCTGTACAAACCTGAAAGTTTCGCATTACCAGTAAATACCTTTGTATAACGTGATAGAAATCCCATGGAAGTACCCTTCTACAAATTTTTTTGTATTCTTAAAGAAGAAGGAGTGTTGTCTTGACTCTTTGACGGGCGGTGGAACATTTATGTCCCACTCTTTTGTTTTCGATTGCAGAACTATAATAAACTAGGATCAATGACTCTGGTAGAAAGGACGATGACACTACATTGACCTCATTGCTTATTATATACATCACGTGGCTATTGTGCCATCTGTCTGACACTTTCATAAATTATTCCCGTGTAAATCGCTATGAATGAGCGTATCACACAAACAATACTCCAGTATTGTTGACCCGAACCTCGTGTATGACAATCTAGACTCGAGCCTATCTCACTGCGTCATCGGCATCGACAGAACTTGCCCGTTCAAAATTTGCTAGTTAAGAATTAATCCACATTCGATATGATATCTTTTTATTAAACACAAAGAGATTAATTGAAATATTTGCTAATAAGAAATATTTTTCAATGAAAGGATAAATAATATTGTTTTAGTATGAATATTCGAACAAGAATATATGGGAACTAACAGGTGCTTGTTGGTTATCTCTTTCGAATAACAACTATAAAATATAGGTATTGTTTTAGTTAAATTATAAAAAGCAGAACAGTAGATAAAAATGCTCCGATTTGTTTTTGTTTTATTGATTACAGCTGTTGTTTCAAATTCAGTTTATCGACCAGTTGTTCTTATGCATGGTATAACATCAACAGCTGCTGGAATGGAAGAATTAGCTAGTTGGATTCGAGCATCTTTTCCTGGTATTTATGTTATATCAGTTGAAATTGGTAATGGTAAAGTGGATTCCTTTTTATTGCCAATAGATAGGCAAGTCGAACAATTTTGTGACACTGTTTATGCTGATGATCATCTTCGTCAAGGGTTTAATATACTTGGCTATTCTCAAGGAAGTATTATTATACGTGGTGCAGTTGAAAGATGTTCATTACCTGTTTATAATTTAATAACATTAAGTGGTATTCATCAAGGAATTTTTGGTATACCATATCTTTTACAACTTCCCGAACAATATCGTGAATTAGTTACGAAATATGCATATGAAAATACAGTACAAAATGCAATTAGCCCAGCAAATTATTGGCGTGATCCTAATCAATTAGATAAATATATATCTGATTGTCATTTTCTTCCGGACATAAATAATGAAGGTGAAGTACGAAATGGAATATATCGTGCAAATATGATGAAATTAAATGCATTTGTTATGACTTATTCTGATATTGATGAAATCATTGTGCCAAGACAATCAGGTTTGTTTATGGGTTATAAATCAAATTCCCTGGATATTGAAACATGGAATAATTCGAGACAATTTACAGAAGATCTCATTGGGTTAAGAACATTATGGGAACAAGGAAAAATATTTACTTTTACTTCTCATGTACGCCATCAAGATGTTACACATGCGCCCAATCGAGATTTTATTATAAAAAATATTTTACCTTTTTTTAATAATTCACTTTCATAGTCTAGGCATTATTTAATAACATACCTTGTCTAGCTTTTAATAGAATCTTTATTAAAAATAAAAACATAATGTCAATGCATCATAATGTTTTTAAATATTTATGAGAAACAATTCTCTATATTTATCGTTCTAATTCTATTAGGTAATAAAATGAAGCAAGTCAATGAGTTCTATCAAAAAGGTAATTAAAAACATTGATAAACAAATATATCGATAGACTATGTTTGACGCATAAAACCCAAAAAATCTTTTCAAATATTCAATTCAACTTTTCAATTATTCGATGATTTGTTGATGAGGAAATATATCTGATAATAGAGAGCCTGATTGTTGTGACTTGTATAGTTGAAAAAGAATTCTAATAAACAACTCAAAGTTTTCGATTTATAAACTACTGGACACCTTATAGTCATTTTTTCATCCAAATATATTCAAAAATAATAACAAATAAATGCGAAAACCTCGAATTTAAATCCGAGTGTTATGTGTACTTCAAAAAGTGAAGAGGTATATTCACTTTGTTTTTTATCAACTGAGACATATCTAGGCAATTTTGC